TGGCAACTCTATGGGATCTCTGCATATTTTATTGTTAAATAGGAAATGCGTTTGCATGGTTAAATATTCAAATAGTTTTTTTAATTCAAGTTTGGAAGTATTAAGGTTTGGTCTATTTTTTAAGATTAAATCTGCAGCAATTGAGATGGTTTCATCCAATGGGATATTTGTAAACAAACTTTCCAAATCAAAGGGACATTTGTTATTTATTTGAAAATTGTTACTAAATTAGTGCTATTTAGACCATTTGGAAATATTATTCATGATATTGCACAAAACTATCCTGAAAATGAAGTGACAATACCTGTACTTAGAAAGTTTGAAAAATTAAATTTAAAATTTAACGAATCACAAATAGATAAAACATTTCTTAAAAACTGTCAAATATTCAATGTTGCTCCTAAATTTCTTTCCTATAATCTACCATATACAATCATGACTCTAAATCTATATGAAAAAGACTTTTTAAAAGCAATATTACAAAAAGCAAAAAGATACAATACAGATCATTTATATATATATACATATATATATATATATATATATATATATATATATATATATATATATATATATATATATATATATATATATATATATATATATATATATATATATATATATATATATATATATATATATATACACTCTTGCATGGTCATTTTTATTTTACCATTGCTAGGTTTAGGTTGTTGTTGTTTTTTTTTAATTATTTTGAAGCCCAATAAAAGTTTCTTTTTTTTTAATATTTGAGTGACATTTTTATATACTCAGCATATTATATACAGTAAAAAAATTAAAATATTCAGATTGTTTTTAAAAACATTTGCAATGTTTTCAAAAATGTTTTAGTCTTTTAATTTGCATTTTTGTGGTTTTTAAAAAAAAACATATTTAATTAGTTTCCTTAATTAAATTAATGTGTTTTGTTATAATCTAAACTTAACTTTGTCAGTTTAAAAACCATAGACAAGCTATAAGCTGTTTTTGACCACGAACTGTGTATTTAATGCTGTTACTATAAGTTTGTGTATATATATATACATATATATATATATATATATATATATATATATATATATATATATATATATATATATATATATATATATATATATATAATATACAATACTGTTGTAATTTAACGCCGTGTTAAATCTTTTACAGACATAACAAGAAAGTTAAAGATAGTCAATTAAGTCTAGTTTAGCTTTAAATAAGAGATTTTTAACTTCCGCTGTTTCAATTGGTAAATTGTTCCAGAACTTGATTGTGCAATTTGTAAAAAAACCTTCACGATTTCGATTTAAATATTTCTTATCAGTGAATAAATGATGTTTATTTGAATGTTGAGGGGATATTTTCCAAGTTATTTTCTCTATATCATAATACCATTTGTACATTTGTATGAGATCTCCTCATATTCTTTGTTGTTTTAAAGATGTTAATTTCATTTTTTCTAGTCTTTCACTGTATGATAGATGGCGTAGCTCAGGTACAGATTTCGTTACTCTTTTTTGGATTTTTTCTAATATATTTATATCTTTTTCAAGATAAGGACTCCATGCCTGTATTGCTAATTCTAAATGCGGCCGTATATAACTACAATACAACAATTTTATTATTTCACTATTTTTATACTTAAATGATTTGTATATTATACCAAATTTAAAGTTTGCAATAGATTATGCAATTTTGATTTTTAGTTTCCATTTTAAGTCATTTGAGATTAATATGCCTAGATCTTTTTCCAATTTAGTTGTAGTTAATTCTTGCTTTATATTATTGTTAGTCATTTTTGTTACCAGTATGCATGATTTTACATTTTTCAAAATTGAATTGCATTTTCCAGTTTATTACCCATTTTTCTAACGTAAAAATGTCATTTTGTAAAGCATGAGCATCCGTTTGATTATTTACTTCAGCTATTACTTTACAATCATCTGCATACAACAACAATTGGTTTGTAAGTTGACTTGGAAGATCATTGATGTATATTAAAAATAAAATTGGACCAAGCACAGAACCTTGTGGTACACCGCTTACTATGTCTACCCATGATGATACACTTTCTCCAAGTACAATTCTTTGCTTCGTATCAGTTTAAAAAGAAATTATTCACTTCAATGACGTAGATGTAATGCTATATGCTTCAAGTTTTAGTGCTAATCTCCTGTGTGAAACTTTGTCAAAGGCTTTCTTGAAATCAGTATAAAGGATATCAAACGATTTACCATTTGTAACACCTGTTGTTACTATATCCATGTACTCTAGGAGATTAGTTGTGTAACTTTTGCCTTTTGTAAAACCATGCTGATTAGAAAATAATAAATTGTTAATTTTTAAATAATGTAAGAGTTGGTTAGATATTAAACGTTCTAAAGTTTTATAAAGAATAATAGTTTTTCAAGGAAACTGGCCTATAATTTGAAACTTTATTTCTACTGCCATTTTTAAACAGTGGCATTATGTTTGCTGTCTTCCATGAAATAAGTACTACAACTTCATAACTTGATTTGTTAAATAATAAAGTCAATGGATTAGAAAAAGCATTTACATATTCTTTTAATACAAAAGGATAAATATATATATATATATATATATATATATATATATATATATATATATATATATATATATATATATATATATATATATAAGCGAAAAAAAGCGAAAAAGTTATGAAAACATACTAAACTCCAAATCTTTTTTTTTTAACTATTTTTAAATATTTTTAAGCAAAAAAGTAATTAAAAAAATCATTTCATTATATCATCGCATGGTTTTTAAGTTGTAAGGGTTGTATAAATGTGTTTTGACGTTTATTTACAGCCCTGTCGTGTAGTTGTAAAAATTGTACCGTATATCCATAATTGAAAACTTTGATAATGTTATATTGCATTTTTTTAACATAATATACATGGTTGTAAATATTTATTTATACTTTTTTTCTTACATCATTGATTGTGTCGTTATATTTGTTGTTTTTAAGCATTGGATTTTTTGTTACAACTGTCACAGTTACGAGCTTAATGCAAAAAAACCACAAAAATGCTTGTAAAACTTCAAGTAAAAACTATGAAACTCAACATATAATAACATGAATATGTGCTAAATACACACACCAAAGGAATTTTTTTTTCACCGTCCTGTTTGCAGCATTAAGTCTGACAAAGTTGTTTTGCTCAGAAGTGGTAAAAAGTAAGCGTTACAACCGTCACGCTACTTGGAGTTATATTTTGAAAAAAGTTAAAGACTTACTACTACTACTACTACTACTACTACTACTACTAAATGGTTTAAATTTTACATACAAAATTATATGAAAGTATATCACATTTCTGGAAAATTTCGAGTCATTTCTGTTTTTGGTTCATTTTTAATAACTTAAATAGTGTCAAATGTTTAAATCAGTTGCAATATACAATACACATGTAAATCAAAAAAAAGGTAATTGCCCCATACACACAGTAACTACCCCATAGAGCAAGTGGACACAGCTTTGAAGGCCATTACAGCTGTTATTTCAGTTAAAATAGTTTAATTATCTATGTGGCAAGATTAAAATAGGTGGACACTTTGTTGAACTGCTGTTTCTGCTGATTAAGAGCTTGTCATTACTCAAAATTGATCAATGACAAAGCACATCATCTCCATGATGAAGAACTTTGGAATCTGGCTAAATCTCATTAAAACAATTTCACAAAAGTGAACTTCTTTTTGCAAGACTTCTTGATTTTCTGAAAAGGTAACACAACCTAACCTTTACAGAGAATTTGTCAGAACATTTTAAAGTGCCATGCAGCTGTAAGTAGAGAACAGCTTATTGTTTATTTTCAACAATCTCTACAACCTAATCAAGGACATTGTCCTTCTAATTTAATGAGCTATGATAAGATGAGCGAAAATCCTGGCTCCAAGAAAATGATTTACAGAAAGGCCACAAAACATATAGATACCATTATAAAGATTGAAATGCCTTTGCCTTTTTATTTGTATTTTGAACTTTGTTTTATAAATCTATTTTGAGAATTTAAAACATACTTCCTTTAATTTCATAAACGTGTGTTGCAATGTTTTGTTGGTTAAATTAGGTTTTTTTGTTAAGTGGCATAAATGCACTATATTTTGATTTTTTTTTTAATGATTTTTATAAATAGACTTTAATTAAAGTTTTAAAGCCACATTGCTAATTTTCTTATATAATGTGCATCTTGTATGAGTTATTCTTGAATAAAGTTCACAAATTTACAGCTCAATCAATTTTTTTGTATTTTATTTGATAATTTAGTTTTGTGATTTACAAATTAATTTATTAAACATGTATTGCAAAATTTTGTTGTTTTAAATCAGATTGTTGAAAAACAGGTTGTTTTTTTTAAGTGGCCGAATCACCCCGTTTTTGGATTTTTCGAAAAGAATTTTTATTAATAAGTTGTGGTTAAATTATTAAAGCTACATGGCTGATTTTCACATATAATGTGCATCTTGTAGGAGTAATTCTTGAATAAAATCTACAAGTTTATAGCTCTTGTATTAAACAAATTGTTGAAAGAATAAAATACAGTAAAAATGTGGCCATATAATATAATACCCCATTTGACAGTGTATATATATATATAATATATATAATATATATAATATATATATTATATATATATATATATATATATATATATATATATATATATATATATATATATTGTATATATATATATATATATATAATATATATTTATTTATATATTTATATATATATATATATATATATATATATATATATATATATATATATATATATATATATTTATATATATATATATATATATATATATATATATATATATATATATATATATATATATATATAATATATATATATATATAATATATATTTATTTATATATATAGTTATATATATTTATATTTATATATATATTTGTGAGGCAGTACCCTCTTTATTCTGGCCAACTTTAGTGGAAAATCAGCATTTTTTTTGGCAAAAAAAGCAATATTTGCTGTAAGTATATATATATATATATATATATATATATATATATATATATATATATATATATATATATATATATATATATATATATATATATATATATATATATATACTTATATGTATACTATTTTGCTGTATATTATTATTATTATACATTTAGTTGTATGCAGTAAATTCATTATCCTGAAATAAAATTTAGAAGATCATGCACACTGCATTTGATTGTTATCCAATTGTTGAGCGATTACCTCTTGTTATCCAATCAATTGCAACATCAGGAGATAAACTTTTAATAGGTACGAAAGAAGGTCATCTTCTAGTTTATAACATTATTGAAGAAGTATCGCAAACAGGTAAAAAATTCCAAGTGCATTTTAGTCGATCCAACAAAACATTTGGAAAAAAAGCTGTAAAACAGCTGAATATTTATGAAAAAATTGGCGTAATTTTCAGTCTCTCTGATGAAATCATTAGTGTCCATGACTCAAATTCATATTCTTTGAAATTTCAGTTTCCAAAAAGTAAAGGGGTCAAACTATATGCTGTAGATAATGGCGTGAAAATGCTTCGCTTGGGCATCGTTACATCTCGAAAGGTTCAGACATTTTATTGGAATAAAAATGAATTTTCTGATCTTCATCCAGAATTAAATTTTCCAGAAACTCCAAAGAAAATTGCTTGGATTGGAGACTACATTTGCGTTGGGATGAGGAAAGAATATATTCTAATGAGATGTGACACAGGTAACATGTATTTAATCTTGAACTATATTCATTTGTTTTGCTTTTTTGTATTGTTTGTGTTTTCTTGCATACCTTATAATATTTAATTTACCCCTTATACATACCACTAACCTTTAATATAAGTTTTCATTCTTTTAATATTCTCTTTTTTATATTCTTAATAATTCTCATAATATTCTAAATTTATAGAATGTTTTAATGTTTAATAGAATTCTAACTTATCATAACTTTGTGATCTTTCATAATGAGCTATTTTTATAAGAATTATTGTTATTTTATTCTATTTGTTACACATATGATTCCTTGTTTGCCTGCATGAAATTAAGTTATTAATGAACAATTAGTCTTTTGGGAAAAAATCTCATTTATATGTACTGTTATTACAAAAAGCTTAATGCATAAGTTTAATGTGAATTAGACGCCATAAAATTTTAATTTTTTAAAAAATAAACTTTTTTTTTTAAGGACATTAACTTTTTTAAACTACCGCATTATAATAAATTAATTCAAAACAAGTTCAATTGAAAAATTTACTCAGTTAATGTATATATATATTATAGAATGTTTTTTTAATTTTAAGTTTAACTAATTAAATAATAATTAACTATAATTAAAAATGTGTGGTAGTGGTAATACAATGTAAGAGGTTCTGTGTTCGATTTCCATCACGTCCCTGGTAGAACCGCGCTTAACTTGTTTCTCCGCTCAGTGGCCTTGTTCGTCAAGGTTGGTGTTTTAGAGTTATAGAGTTGAGAGAGGTTTATAACCACAAGTAGCCTCCTCATCTGTAGTGGCTTTCTCAGCCTTGGGAAGGTAAATTACAAAAAAAAATTTAAAAATAAAAAAAAATCTTTTATATAAACTCATTTCTTTCTTCTCTCAACTATTGTATAAATGAATTAAAGTACGTAAAAAAAATTATTATTAATATTTAAATTTGTAATTGTTTCTTTGCAATTAATAAAAAAATTTTATTTATAAAAAGTGCTTAGTGAGTAGTAAAAAGTGCTTAGTGAGTAGTAAAAAGTAGTAAATAGTGAGTAGTAAAAAGTTAGTATAGAGTCATTCAATATGAAATCATCCACAAAAAAAAAAAAAAAAAATTTGCCACTCATACGTCTCAGAATTTGAATTAAGTTTAAATAATGCTGATTCAGCATTTTTGCAGTTATCTGAAGAGATAGCAAAGCATTTTGGACATAATATTTTTATATTTTTACAAAAAGATTAAATTAAATTAATATCCAAAATATAACCATTAGTTACTTGTTTTAGGCATATTTTTTAATTTTTTTTTTTTAGATTTTTACTTCTAATAAGGCTGCAAGCAACAACTATTAAAGTTGGAATTTACTGTAAGAGAAAAGATGAAGTTTATAGAGCAAGATAACGATTATATGAAAGAATTTTAGTAGATGATACTAGAGACGCTAGCTCTCTAGAGCAGTGCCCATTATAGTATTTATAACTTCTTAAGCATTATACTTTTTTGACAAGCTAGTCCTTCAACAGTCCCACTAATACCATCACAGGCAGGGGGATTTACCATAGCTGGTAGCAAAAAGCACCCATTCAGCATTTAAATTAAAGTCTCTACTGTGATAAGAAAAATTGATATAGTTTTTTTTAAATTTTATATTGCGCCACACAGCCATCAGAAAAATAAATAAATGTGTGGTTTAGATTTCAATGCTGTCAAATAAGAAGTCATTAAACTCTTCTAGTGGCATTGATTGTAACAGTAGTGTTGTGCAGTCAGTACTCTGCGATTGCTTGAATACTACATCTTCTTCAAGCTCATAGTCTATAAACTTATGCACTAAACAATTTTTCAATGCTAGAATACTAAGGCATAGCTTATTTTGGTACAGCATACACTCTGCATTTTCAAGAGAACAAACAGTTAAACTTATAAGATCTTTATAACTTTAATTCTACCTAATTGCATCAATTATGTTGTAATGCACCACTTAGGTTTCAAAGTACAAAACTTTGCTTACTGACCTTGGCATTAGGATAGCCCTTTTTAAATTCAACATGTAATTCATTCAGATTGAGAAGTTATAACCTTTTTTGAACATGTTGGTTTTTCTTGATACTAACAATATTTTTTTTCCTGGCACAATTCTTGAAAACTCATTATTTTGATAAAAGTTAGTTAGTAACTGGACTGTTTCTGTGGAAATTGAGTTTCCATTTTTTTTCATCGCAATGATAGGATCTTTTGCTCATTTTTAACATATCTTGAAGTTCGAACTAGATACTCAGATTCATAAGCTTGATGAGCAGAAATTTTCCTTTTGATCAAACATTAAAATGTATAGATCATGATTCTTTAATTTATTTTTAGTAATTGTGCTGTTTTACTTCATCATATGCTAATAAAATCTTTTTTGCAACTCTATCTATAGTGTTGCCAAACTTTTATTTTCCTGGTATTTTCTAGTGTTTTGGAAACTTTTTGATTCCACTGGTGAAATCGTATAATAAATGTTAGATTACCTTTTATAGCTCTTTTTTTACTTTTTTTGTGAGTTCCAAAAAGGTTGCAATACTTTGTAATTTTTTTTTTTTAACATCCTTATTTCCAATAAAGCTGCAAGCAACCACTATTAGTGTTGGAATTTACTGTAAGAGAAAAGATGATATTTATAGAGCAAGATAACAATGAACAGACGACTTCAAGTATTGCAAATTATATGAATCAGGGAAACAAGGTGAAGGAAGGGAATTCCAAAGAACTTATGTTTAAGGGAAAAAACAAGAGGAATAAGAGTTTTAGGAGTACTTAGGAACTATCACATAAAAAGGATGAGACTTAATTGAATGGCGAGTAACATGAAAATGAATTTTAGTAGTTGGCACAAGAGACACTAGCTCTTTAGGACAGTGCCTATTAAAGTATTTGTAAAAAAGAGAACCAGAAGCAACATTACAACTATGTGATAATGGTTGGAGGTTGGCTGCAAGAGCAGGTCCACCTATGTTTACAATGTATTTCTGCACCTTATCTACAGGCTTGGTCGGGAAACGGGAGCGATCACTCTCGAATACTGACCACGAAAATTATATTTAGTTGAAAAACTGGCCAGGTTCTTTAGTCGTTTTGAGAATATTTAAGTTTATGTACAAAACAAAAAATTTTTGTTTTACGGACATACATGGAAACATAAAAAACTTTAATGTTCATCTTGGTGCGAAAGAATAAAAAGAATGTTCGCGAACACTAAAAACCTGCCAAATTAACGAACAAACAAATTCTATTGGTTCAAATAGAAAAAATAAATAAAAATAAAAGTTGAATTCAGGTTAATAAATAAATTTTTGGAAAGAACCTATTTCAACCTATTGCACCTCCTAACATCGAGTGCAATCCTGTCCGCTTTCTTTATGCTATCTTTCTAACACGACTACTTCTGTCTTTCACTCTAACATATCTTCGTTCTTCCTAAACTCACTTTACTCTTGGTCCGTAGAGCGGGTTATGACGCTCCTTGGGAAGCTGAACCTGTCTTTGCGGGCCTTGGTAATGTGGCCTCTATATGGCAATTAGCTGGAGGAGGATAAACCACAATACCAATTCTATTGGTTCAAAAAATACGTTAACTAAGCGAAATTAAGTTTTAGAGTATTCTGTTGAAAAGTTTTAAAAATTATTCACGATTTGTTACGTTTTGAGATTTCTAGCATAAATTGTTTTAAGAATATATATTATTTGTTTACAAAAATAATTGTTTTAAATGTATATTAATTAAATTGTCAAAATTTTAAAAGTAACTGTCAAAATTTTAAAAGTAACTCGCGGATGAACAAGCACTGCGCCTGTGGTCACGACAGAACACATATATATATATAGCAATTAGATATAAAGAAAAGTTTCTAGATATTGGTTTACTATCTCTAACTATTTTCACTTAAGTTGCCATTCTTAAAACTTGTTATACTTTTTTCTGTTTTAAAAACTAGTTAAAATTAAAAAGCCCACTCACTGAACATCATCAGCGATATTGTGAAGCAGTTTCGCTTCCTCGTCATAAAGTATTTTTAACCTTTTTAGTTAGTTTCTATCTTGTTAATTTAATTTCTATAGTAATTCAATGATTTAATTATTTCATTTGTTTATCTTACTAAGAAGAATTGCTTCAAATTAATAAACTTTTCAAACTATGCGAAACATAAAATAGGTATTAAAAAAATTAAATTTTTTATTTATAAAATAATTTAGCTGAAATAAAACTAAAACTTGCAAACTTTGTTAAATAAAGAATATTTGTTTCCTTTTTAAACAAACGTAAGATGTTACTTTATATAAAAAACATCGCTTAATTTTATTTAAAAAATTATAAAAGAGCGATGTTTCAAAAATATTTGTTCTAAACGTAATTTATTTAGCTTTAAGTTTTTTCGCGTTAAAGATATTTTATTTGCCTAATTTTTTTTTGTAATTGTCTCTGATTGGTCCAATTAATCTTTTGCGCTTTTTTTTTTTTTCTTTTTAAAATGTTCTCAAAACGGCTAAAAAATCTCGCCAGCTTTTTGCAACTAAATATTGTTTACGTGGTCAGCAATCGAGAGTGATCGCTCCCGCTTCCTGACCAAGCCTGTATCAGCCATTTTATGTATGCATTGAAGCAGCTATTCTGTAAAGCTTTGTAAAATAAAACAAAAAATAATTTTAACTGTTAATAAACAACAATAATAATTAAAACACAAAAAATTACTTATTACCTAAATATTTAATAATTTTAAAAATTATTATTATTATTATTTTTGTATACAAATGATATTTTTACTAAAGGCTTTTTATTTGTAGGCGCATACAAATAATGACTTTCAAAGTAATATTATATAATGATTACTAAAATTTACATGCATTTAAATTTATAAATTAGTTAACTAAAAGCAGCTTTAAAAATTTTAAATATTATGGTGTTTAAAATCAATTGCATAAGGTAATTTATGAAGACATCAAAAACATGCGCTGATGGCACTTCAAATTTTTTATTCTATTTTTTATATTTATTTTTATTTAATTTTTAGTCTCTCTTGTTCGAATTTAAAAGAAAATTGAAATAATTTAAAAGAAAATTAAAAAAGCTGTTGAAAAAAAAATAAATTTTACTCTGAGTAAAATTTAAAAGTTGTAATAAAATTTTTTTTTGATAAAACAAGGAAAGTAAGAGAGGCTGCAGGTGTATTTGGGTTCTCAAAAAGTATGTTTGCCTACAGATTAAAATGCTCAAAATTAATAGAATATCAAAAAGCGATTTATAGAATTTTTCGTAACTTTTCTACCAAATATTCTATAAATCAAATATTTACTAATGCAGAGGAAGCTATTTTAGAAAATTATATGTTGAAATCATCAAATTGTAAACTATGAGTTAACTTGAATAATATTACAGCAGAGTTCAAAAAATGTGGTATTTTTCCTTTTTCAAAAAATATATTTTCAGATAAAGATTCATCTCTTTTCAATCTAGTAATAATGACAATTGTAAACAAAGCTGCATAGATTTTAAAACTTCAAATGTTAGTGATCATTCTTTAGTAAATACTTCTTTTGAAGTTGCTATGTTGAATAGTGAGTCACTTAATTTATATTAAAACAAAACTGATGAGCTGTCACAGGTTTTTATTGAAAATTTACAGTCCTCTGTACCAATTGTATCTCCTGAGATGATTAGACAATACCTAAAAGCACCTCCAACAAAGAAAAAATCAAAAGGCAGAAAAAAAGGAAGGAATTTTAACAGAAATAACAGAAAGACTAACAAAAACAGAATCTTTAAGTTACAATGTCCAATTCTACCCCCCTCTTGTGGGGTAGTTTTGGACAGCAAGCAGCTTTGTTTTTCAGGTAAAAAAGTTTATTTGAACTATCTCAAGTTTGCATTTTTTTAAAGAATTAATAGCTAAATTGCCTTTTTCAGCAAAAGTTTTAACTTTTTGTCAAACAGTATGAAAGCTGTAAAACCTTTTTTAAAAAGTTTCCTAGTGTGCTTCTCTTTTCCCCTACTATAAAAAAGTTCCATATACTTTATGGTATTTCTGTTAAATGATTTTTTTTAAGTAAACATTTCAAAAACAAAAAGAAACTAACAATTACTTCAATTAAACAAGATTTATATAATAAATAGATATTTGCATAAAATATCAAGTGCCTAATGAACTTATAATAATTATACTTAATATAATTAGAGTTGAATAAACTTACTTAGTGTTATTGTGTTTTTTTAAAAAATTATTTTTAATTTGTTATCATATTTTTAGATCTAAACCTAATACCATTCTGAATAGTTTTTTTTTATAAGAATAACTACTTTAATGTATGGGTATGCTCATTGTAAACATTATTTTTAAACAATATAAATTGACCACAAGAATCAATTTTCTCTTTTTAAGTGTCTTAAGTACTTGAGTTATTCAAGTATACACATAATTTTATATTGTCAATATTAAATAAAATGTGTTGAAATAAAAAAGTTTATTTTTATTATAAGTTTAAAAATTTAAAAAGTTTTTTATTTTGTTCATTAGAATTTCATCAATTTTTTATTAAGAAGTTCATTTTGTTAACCTAATTTTGAGGACTGGCAAATTATTAATTTACCAGTCCTCAAAATTAGAGTTGGTATTCGGCAATGCTGACCTTATTGCTTAACTATAGTAAGCAACTGGGGTTGATATTTGACCATGGCCAGAACCAGTATTTAATAGATAGTATATATATATGTATAAATTTATAATATATAATGTATTATAAATTTTTTACTAGCCCTGGCTATTAATCCCAGCTAAAGCTTATAATATTGTCAGGACTGTGGTTGAGTCTATAAAAAGCCCCATATTTAACTGGGGCCAGAGCCCTACTTACTACCTACCAACATTGTTTTTATGTTGTTATGGTGAAACTTTTGCATTTAAAGTTTTGTGCCCACCTGAAAACTTATTTAAACTACAATAATTGCTTAGTGAAATTTTGTTTCTTTTTATTCTTAAGTTTTTTTTTTTTTGTTGTATCAGATATTTATTCCTAAGTTCAATATTTATTAAGGCTTTACTTTGATCCAGGTCTGGAGAAAAATTATTTCTTCTTCACCTCTGCATGGTTTTGATCCTGCATTGTTATTAGTAACGAGGTGATTTAAATTTTGAATTAATTTCTATTAAAATGTCCGTAATCAATATTAATAATCAATGTCGCTTTGTTTAATATGAGTAACTGTTAATCAAAAGGTAATATGTTACTTAGACATGGAATTGGGAACAATAAACATTTATGATCATAATGATGAATTATATAAAATTTTTCTTCTGAATAAAATTAATAATAATAAACTTAGTCTGTGTTTTTTTATTTACTTTTTATTGAAAGCATAAATAAAATAAAATATGGCGTAAACCAAATAGATAAAACATGTTTTGAATTGAAAACAAATAATTGACAACTATTTTTCTGCTTTACAAAAAACTCTCAGTTTGCCAAAAGGAATGAGCTTTAGTTGGAAAATGCATATGAATTTCTATAAGGCATGATCTTTGAGTTTAAAGAAATGACATAATTATGCTTGTTAAAATATTATTTTTATTTTGGGAGAAGAATCCATCACTGAATAATCAAAATACTATATGATTAGAAGTCATAATTCAGAAATATTATGTGATTAGAAGTCATAATTCAGAAATACTATGTGATTAGAAGTCATAATTCAGAAGAAAATTTAATGAAGCTGATTAAAAACCAGTCAAATTTAGCTCAAATTTTTTTAATACAACAAAAGTTGAAAAAGTTGAAAATCGGATGTCTCAAATAGTATGACTCTTACACAAGTATTTTTTTTTCTTTAATAGTTATTTATTTATTTAAAATGTGTTTTATCAAATGTCAAAATGGCTTCCACTTGTCTGTGATTGGTTGTTCAGACAAAAAAATTGTTTTGTGATGTTATTGCGATAAAGGACAAAATGGATTTTTATGATTAATATTTTCATTTTTTCAAATATTTCATAATTTCACTTGTTCAAATATTTAGAAAAAACAAGATTTCATCAATTTCTTTCTTCAGCAAAATATGTATATCGATAAAAAAAGAAAATTTTAACATAATTTTTCTTTTTTTGTTACAAAATATCTTTTGATTGCTAGCTCCTCATATTCATTTGTGAATACTTTATTGCAAAGTAACATTAACATAATTTATCAAATAACTAATAATTTAAAATATGATCCAAATAATTATGATGATGTTTATATTTAGTACAATCAATAAAAAAGATATTGTTTAACAAAAGTTAAAAAACAGTAAATATAAATTTTAACAAAATATGTTGCATCAAAAAGTAAATGTTATATAACTTTACAATAGTTCTTTTTAAATTCAAACAATGTACAATAGTTGTATAGTTTCTTACTTGTCTGCTTTTTCACTTAAGGTCATTTGAACTGTTGATGGGATGTGGTTTTCATCACTAAAGCTCTTTCAGAATAAGTATTAAAAACACATTTATATCATGTCTACAATATCTTCAATAGTGTGCTTTTGTTTTGTTTTTTAATTCAGATTTGTTGTTTTTTTTACTCTCATCAATTTTTGTCAATAACTAAATTTAGTATTTCATTACGGACTATAATATTATTATTTTTAATTGTATTTGAAGAGAATCAGTTGAGGTAGATAAGAATCAGTTGAGATAGATGTAGAGTAGATAAGAATAGGTTGAAGTAGATGTATGGTAGATAAGAATCAGTTTGAATTGATGTAAAGTAGTTAAAAAATCAGTTAAGGTAGATGTAAGGTAAATAAAAATCAATTGAGGTAGATGTAGAGTAGGTGAGAACCAGTTTAAGTAGATTTAAGGTAGATAAGAATCAGTTAAAGTAGATGTAAGGTAGATAAGAATCAGCTGAGGTAGATGTAAGGTAGATAAGTATTGTTTGAGGTAGATGTAAGGTAGATAAAAATCAGTTGCGATAATTTATTTTATATATATATATATATATATATATATATATATATATATATATATATATATATATATATATATATATATATATATATATATATATATAATAAAATTGTATGATACAGGCAATTTTCTATTTATTAAATAAATCATTCAGCTGAAGAAAAATTAAAAATATTTTTAAAATGTTTTAATAAAACTCTTTTAAATTTGGCAGATTTGCTGGCATTTGCTGAATTTATTATTCAAGGGAAAATTTAAGCTTTATTCAAAAAAGTTAATGAAACTAAGTCTATGGTAATTATTTTCATGTATTAAAATAACTCACCAAACAACATATACCCATTTTTAGAACAAGCATTTAACGTATGAAAGTTGTAACAAATATTTCAAAGTGTTACATAACATAAGAAATTGTGCAATGCATTATTCAACAAAAATGTATTTCAAAATTAACTTTTGTTGCATACTTAACTTTTTGGTTGTTTTTTTTTTTTTTTTTTTTTTTTTTTTGACTTTTTTTGAAAAAAAATATTTGCTGTAAAATTCAGACTTTAGTCTGAATTTTACAGCAAATATTTTTTTTTACAAATACAATTTGACAGCAAACTTATTAAAATTTAAGTAAATTTAAAATAGAATGTAATAATATTATAGTAAATTGAGAGTTCTTTTTTGGAAAATCGGTAGCACTAGATAGATATTAGTATAGAAAATTAAAACAATTTAGTTGTTTAAAAATATTTATTTCTAATTTCATTATAATATAAAAGTATTGACATTGATAATTATTTGTTATAGATTAAAAATTTTTTTGTTTAGGTGACATAATAGAACTTTTTGACACAGGAATTAAAAAAAGTGAGCCGTTAATTGCAAATGTGCCTACTGGTGAATTAGCTTTATGTAGAGATGAAGTAACAGTGTTTCTTCATGTTAGTAAGAAGGGTGAACATACTGACAGTCTTGCTGTTACCTGGTCTGACACACCTCTTGCGTTGGAGTTTATTCATCCTTATATAATTGCTGCACTGCCTAAGTATATAGAAATTTGTTCTCTCAATCCAAGACATGTTGTACAAAGAATAGAAGCTCCTAATGCAACAAATATTGTTGTTGGTTCTTACTGCTATATTGCATCACCATCACACACATGGAGGTATGTATAAGTTTGTGTAATTATATAATTTATTTTTATCTCTTTAATTTCAGTCATTATTAATACAACACTAAATAAATAGTGGACAAACGTACATAACTCATTTAATAAGTTTTTGGGTTATTGAGTGATGTGCCAGGTACTTTAAATATGACATCATCGAGAATATTTGATGTCAGCATTAATCCATTGTATAAGAAATGTTTGAAATAGTGAGTTTTTTCCTGCGTCTACTTCAAGACCCATGTAATTTAGCTTACTTTGCAAAACTAAAATAAAAACCTAATAGGCTCTAAATTGCCCAAGAGAGATCCAAAAGTAGGTGTCATGTTGTAAAAGATAATATGTAGACCCAAATTTTACAATTTTTATTTTTTTTAGCTTTCATATTAATCTGCACCTATTAATTTATATCGATCATTTTAAATAAACTACTTTAATTCATAAATCATAGAAATACATTTTTTATTGCCTTTGACATAAGTACAATAACAAAGTTATTATAGCAGCTGTTATAATTATAACAGCACTTGCGCTTATGACAGCACTTACGCTTGACATTGCGTGTTAGGATGTCAATTAGATAAAGATCTTTCTGGGCATTAAAAAGAATGAAAAGGTAAGATCTTTCTGGGCAAAGCATGAAGAATCATGTCAACTAGATAAAGATCTTTCTTAGATCATAATTAATGACAACAATGACTCAAGACTCAAATTTGTTTACACTAAGTTTAAAGACATCCCAAATCATTTAACTTTGCTCTTTGATTTGTGTTTTGCCTCTCACCCTAACTTGTGCTCAATTTCTTATTTTTCTCTTTTAGATGATTTCATGCTATAATCTCACAAAAACGTTAGTCTTATTTTCTTTTTATATCAGATTCACCCTACTACTACACTTACTACTAACTTAAGACTGACTGGGATTTCTTTTGTCACTTTTTTTATAATGGTCCTTGGGCTTATCTCTGGTTGATGAGTAGAAAGTTTCTTTTAAATTCATATTTTATATCAAATTTAGATTATGGAACATTTATAATCCTTTTTTTTTCTAGTTTACTCCTAGCAGGGCTGCAAGCTTTATTTGGATATTTCCAGAATTCCAGATATTTTTTTCAACTTTTAGTTTTTTCAGATATCAAAACATTTTCCATACATGCAAGTTTAGGTATAAATTTTTGTAATATATATATTTTTTAAGCTTTTTAACAAAAATTAGAAAATGCTTGAAAAAAAAAGTTACAAACAACTTTAAAAGAAAATAAATATTCTGGATATTTTATCCAAACATTTTTCCGGATTTTTATAATATGACCTGGATAATCTATGAAAAATATTGTTAAGAGTAAGAAAAAAATAGTTATTAAAAAACTGTAAATTGATTGAGTAAGGAAAATATGAAGAGAGTAGAGAGTTCTTTCTTCTAGGGAGCTTTGCTTCTATGGGACAGAGGCTCAAACTTGGCAGCTTCAGCTACATTTACAATACGTTTTTTGACCTTGTTTAGAAGAGAAAAGGCATGCCAAACTTTATTAAAAAACCTTTGATATTTCAAGAGTAATACCCCTTCAATATTTGCCTTGTTGCTTTTCATCTACAGCCCTCCAAATTAGAATCGGTATTCAGCAGTGTCAATCTAACTGCCGACCTAGAAGTGTTTATGGTCTATGTTTTATAGTTACTTTTTTCATATTTTTTCTTCCAACCTGATGCTGACCTCAGACAGATTTAGGTTGGCAAGTTATTGTCGACCTCATTTTTTCTAATTATGAATAACACTTTAGCTGTAGAACAAGAGGTTAAAGTACAAAATGATTGTCAGAGTGTTAGTTATTAGACTCAAGTGTATATGTTAGATGATTAAAGACTCACAGATCTTGCTGATGACAAAGAGTAGCTTGATTACATAGTAATTAGATGAGTCAGATTGTTCTAATGTTAGATGGGTCACAGTGTCCTCCAGTGAGGAACCACAGATGCTTTTTTCCAATAGGCAAGAAAACATAGAAATTAATTTAAAATAAATAAAAATCATTTGAATCTTTAAAGGGATTCCCAATTGCCAGGACAAAATGAAAACGAAATGTGTTTATATTAAATAAAATGTTTTATTTAATATGAACACATTTTTGTGTTTTATTCTAATTTTATTGATTAAAACTAAATAATAAATAACTAATATAAAAATCAATGAAAATTAAAACTAAATAAATGTTTATCAATGAAAATTAGTACATTATATCATTGATTTTTTAGTTTGTTTAAATTTTAAACAAACAAAAAAATCAATGATATAATGTACTAAAATTCTTAGGAATAAAATGTGCTTGAATAAATTATCAAGTCTGTAGATTGCAGCGTATGTTATGAAGACTAATTGGCCTATTACAAAACAGAGAAGACAAGATTCGACTAGAGCAAAAAAGTTAGTTTTTCTTGGTATGCATTTATTCTTTTGTTTTAATTAAAATAGTTCATGCCAAACATTTTTTTAAAACATTTTTTTTAATATGAGCACAAAATATCTTGGCAGGTAGGAATCCCTTTAATAATATCTTTAATAAAGGCAATCTTTTTTTTTTAATCTTATTTATTTCCAACTAGGCTGCAAGCAACTACTATTATATTAAGAGTTACTAGAAAATAAAGAATAGAATTAAAGAACAAGGAAACGGTTGACAGAAAACTTGAAAAGTGATAGGTTGTATGAGTCTGAAAAATATGAAGAAGGGAGAGAGTTTTAAAGGATTGAAAGATGCAGAGAAAAAAACTAGAGCTTACAGAGCATGTAGGAACAGATACAGTAAATAAATACAACCTAGTTGAATGACATGTCATATGAGAATGAGTTTTAATTGTTGGAACTAGAGACAATAGATTCTTTGAGCAACAACCATGATTTGTAGAAAATAGAAAGATATACTCATGACAATGGGAGAGAGGCTCAATCTGGCAGATAAAGCAAGTCCAACTACATTTACTATGCACATTTCAACCTTGTCTAGTAGTGAAAGAGAAGCAGAACTTTTCAATTGATTGTATATATGCACACCCTGGTGGAAGAATGTGCAAACCAAAAAAAAGTCCCAGGGTCATGTGATTTTTTGGACTCGTACTGACCTCTACTTTTAGAAAATAACATTATTGAAAAAAAATTTCAAGGTCCTAGAAAAAAAAAGCTTATTTTAATTTATAAAGTGTTGACTTTTACAAACACTTTTCTAGACAAGAAAGAAAAATAAAAAATTATAATGAAAAAAACAATTTTTTCTGTAGTAAATGTCTTTTATACATTGATACTCCCTACTCAAAATGTTAGGTGTTATCTGTTATAACAACCCTCAGTTGATGTGTGTGTATTAAAGTGCTCACAGATGACTATATCAGTATAATGTCATCAGTGACCACTAAATATGAAAAAGCTGCTTTTATATACTTCTTATTTGTGTTTATATTGGTTGTATGACATCACAATGTTAATCAATTGATACATGAGCATAAACAAAGTATAAACCAGTTTTAGTTTGTATTCTTTTATGTGACAGTTGTGTACATGTGGGTTTATGCGCTATGTTTATTGGTTTTGCTTTTTTATGCTACACAATTATTTGCAGTGTTTATATAATCAATTAGACCATTTTTATTATTTGTAAAAAAGACAAACTTTCACCTTGTAAAGAAGCTTAAATAAAGACCTTTTTTAAAGTTTAAATATTTTCAAATGTATGACTAAGGTTTCTGGAGGTTCTGAAGCTAGTATATCGAAAATAAAAAAGAAAATTGAGTAAACATGAATTGAAAGGAAAGATACAGCAGAAAGCCTCTTTTAAATACTTTATTATTTGATTCCAAAGCTCAGAGATTTCTGAATAGGAGTAGCATGTATTTTTATGCTAGATTGAGCTCTGTGCCACGCAGCACAAATATCCTACTGTTGGATTAGCCAGGTGGTAGCCCAGTTATGAACACTATTGATAACATGTGAGAGCTAATGAAAGGAAAAGTGGCTAAAACTGTGATCACTAACAAAATATAACTTTTTACAAAAGCACATTTATATACAGAATTATCATTCTCAAATGCAGAAGACAGTACATTCTTGAGTTGATTTCATACAATGCAGAATTAAAGCTCTAATTAGGTGTTATTTTCTTTATAATTAGGAGAAATGCTCACATACCTCGCATATATTATCTTGCAAAGTTCAGCACTGATATCAATTAAAATTTTGAGATATCAATACTTTAAAAATACCTATTTGTAGAAATTTGAAAAAAAATGGCTGAAAAAAAATGGCGTTAAGAAACTTTAAATCAATGGCGCGCATTTAATAATTAAAGGAATAATTTTAAAAATCTGTCAAAATGAGGGAAAAAGCCATTTTACTAAAAAAATGCAAAATATAGCTATAATTCATTATTTTTCAAAAATAAATGCTAGTGTTCCAATTAAGGCGCTGTTCCAATAATGGCAACTCTCCCCTACCATTTAATTCAAATCTTTTTCATTTTAATTAAATTTTTAAGTTTATAAATAAATTGCAAAACATAAAACAAATAGATGTTCAGCTTTTTACTTTTTTTTTTTACATATAAGAATATACATCTAACAATGTAGACCAACAATTGGAAATCTTACATATAAGAATATACATCTAACAATGTAGACCAACAATTGGAAATCTTACATATAAGAATATACATCTAACAATGTAGACCAACAACTGAAAATCTTACATATAAGAATATACATCTAACAATGTAGACCAACAACTGAAAATCTTACATATAAGAATATACATCTAACAATGTAGACCAACAACTGAAAATCTTACATATAAGAATATACATCTAACAATGTAGACCAACAACTGAAAATCTTACATATAAGAATATACATCTAACAATGTAGACCAACAACTGAAAATCTTACATATAAGAATATACATCTAACAATGTAGACCAACAACTGAAAATCTTTACATATAAGAATATACATCT